GACAGAGAAATCACCCACCACTGGAAAGCCTGAAGAAAGCACAACTGCCAACATCTGTAAAAACGGAGGCACATATGAGAATGGTGTATGCAGCTGTCCTCCCAATTTCGACGGCACTTTCTGTGACATTTTGTTGGGATCTATTCCAGTTGGTGAGTTAATGATGCTCTTTACTTCCACATTGATTAGCTCCCTTGTGGTAGATTTCTTCAATCCTCATTTAAAAGGATGTCAGTATTACGGCTCTGCATACTTCAACATGCTCCGAGAGTGAGCACAAGTTGGATATTTTCGCTTAAAGTGAAATAGTGTTTCATGTGCAAGGCCATCACACGATTGCACACCCTATTGTGGTATGTTTCCCTTTTGTCAGTGTTGCCGGCTTATCCAATTTGTTGCTCAATCCAAAGAGTTGAAGAGACATTTAGCAACAACTTCATGAAAAAACAACCAGCTACAAATCTAACGATTTGAATGATAGTCAGGAGAGATGTAGATACACTGGATACAATCACATTTAATGTAATGCAATTACAGATAATATTATTGTCATTATTTCCACCATCACACCTTTTCATCCTGAAACTGTTATTACCAATTTTCAATATTTAATGGAACAAGAATTAATTCACATGTAATACATGTGACAACAGATGTGATGGTTGGGCTCCACAAACCTGGAAGGGACATGAAGCAGGAAAAAGCAGTAGCTCAATTTAATTAAGGAGTAGGGGTTAGAGATTTAGGCTCAGACCTGGAAGGTGGTGGGTTTTAATCCTGAATTTGGCCACTATGAAATTCAGCTTCACTGAATTATTCAGCCTTACTTTGAGCAAGTAGTTTGCCTGTGTCAGAGAAATGCTCAGTTATTTGAATCAGTAAATTCTGAATAAAACTGCAAGTCAAATAAATTAAAAATAGTAATAATTATGATGGGTGATATGACACTGCATTGCCATCATTCAGTATTGATTAGGCTTGCAGGCCTTGCATTGCTGCATATGCAAAAGATAACCAGTGCCATAATTCAGAACTATTTATTTACTCTGGTGTCCTTTGCATTAGAGAAGCAACAGACTGAGGTTGATCTAGAGACTGTTACATTTGGAAAGCTGGCAATACTGCTCATTGTGACTGGCAAGAACTACACGTTTTTACTATACACTGACTATAGCAATTATACTCAAACACCTGGGACAACTATTATATGATGCATAACACTATCACTTATTCCTGGTGTTTTGTACTAAAATTACTTAAATTGAGCCATATTTCAATATGGACTCAGAACTAAGGCACTAGAAAAGCACTGTAGTATTTTGGCATATACTGTACAGTACAGCATTGTACAGGAATGGCACAACTCTTTTGGCTGGTGTAAAGCAGTGTGGACTGTAAAAATGGTCCACAGGTAAAAAATTCCTGCATCATAAGTTTCAGTTAGGGATATTTTGCATATGAAATTGAAAATACTTACGCAAGAACACGACAGGCCTGATATTTTGAAGTTTGTAAGAATGTTTCCCTATGAGTAAAAAAACATTCTGAGTTAATCTTCCCATTGTTTCAGCTTTTTACATTAAGATGTCCTTAAATAACATCCTTTCTCGAAGATAAACGCTATTAAAGATGACCTTTCATATCTAGAAAAAAGCTGATCAATTTTGCAGGATTTGACTTAAATTAGAAGTGGGAGTCCTGTACTTGTATGTAGAGCTATTCCTGACTGTGGAATATTAGTCCCGTGTAGCTGCGTATTGTGAAGACTGAGTAAGAAGGCTTCTTTTCACACATTTGTTACAGATACCTATGAAAGGACAGCAAACGTCACAGTGAAGATCGAAAAAAGTTACACAGAGGACCTGAGCAACACATCGTCACCAGCATACAAAGAATTTGCAAAGAACTTCATGGATCAGGTGAAACAAAATGATGTTATGCAACAAGTTCAGGAGTCAGTCAAATTCTAATCTTACACATCCACTTACAGCTGCCTCCCTGGTTCATTCCTCATTAGAGAGGGGTGGGGGCAGCGCTGTCAATTACTCAGCCAGGCGAGTTAACGCCAAAGTATTAAATTCACTATCTCTTTATATTCATCAACTAATTTCTTTAATTTTGTTCTGCTTGTGAACAATAAATGTGAATGAAGCCCAAGTTGTTTGGTTAGCAAAAACCAGGTGAGTCAGTGAGCCTAACCCACCACTATACCTTGATTCCAAAACCAACCCCAGGATTGGCGATGTTTTTTGTACTTCTGTTTCATGCTTGTCAACATTATTGTTTCTCCTGCAGATGGCGAAAGTGTATAGGAATATTCCCAGTTACAAAGGAGTGAAGATACTGAAAATCAGGTACTGTGTTCCCATACACTGCTAACTGGTAAAAAAGTCCCACACCCTCCAGAACACAAGAAAGGTAGCAAGAGGCTCCAGAGGAAATGAATCTACTTACGTTAGAGTAGCTTAAGACAACGGAATGGGTTTTTGCTCAAGGCACAATCAGTTGTGCTCTGATGGCAGCCTGTGATGAGTTCTCTTTCAGAGTACCCTGTCAGCCACATTTATGGTCTCAGTGATGATGTTTTATGATTTATTCAAAAATTGAATTAAAATGAATTTGTATTTTAAAGATTGAGAAACCAATAATGGGATACGTTTTTTGCACATCTCTCATTGCACTTCTTCAATATACAGGAGACGAGATCCAGGATTCTGTATGTTGGGACCTTAAAGTTCATGCATTATTTCTTAAGGCTTTCATAAGGTTTGCGTGGGCATGCTGTCAGAGCTGTGACTTGACAGGAGAGTCAAAACTGAAGTTCACTTGTTTTTGTGTGATTTAACTTAGGAAAACCAGCCCCTCTACTTGTTTTTAGAAGGAAACAGGAAATTGCTCAAGAACACATGAAAGAGTACCCCCAGGAGGTTTCAAGGAAGACATGAGAAGGGACTAACCCACTAGCTCAGTTCTCCCTGTTTGCTCCCACAGAAAGGGCAGCATCATTGTAGACCATGAGGTAATTCTGAACATAAAGAATGAGAAGACGCCAGCAGTGGAGTATGAGGAAGCGCTCAACCAAGTGGAAAAGGCTCTGGACAATGCAATTAAGTGTGACACTGAGACAACAGGTAATATATGTCACCAGTACTGGGAAATATTGAACCCTGAACTAAGACATAGCTTGTGTCTGGTGTATAAATAAATTCACCAGTTTTGTACTGGGGTTACTACACCTGTACATGGTGGGATTACACCGGTTCCCTGATAATGTGGTCATGGTACCAGCACTAGGTAACACTGCAGCACTATGCTAACACTGTGGTTACTACGAGTGTACTATGTGATGTCACAACACTACAGACACTCTGGTTACTGTTCCTCACAGAGCATTTTAATGGCACTCTGCTAATTTAATTTTTAATGACTTATTTATTACTGTTTTCTTCTTAGATAATAAGCCTTTATTATTAACCTGGCAATGAAATAAAAAAATCAAAGACCCTGACTGTAACAGCGATTCTGTTTCCTTCTTTCAGATCAAGAAAATTGCCCAAATTTTGCAATCACGAATGTCACAGTCAGCAACGACACTAACACATTTAACGATAGTGGTGAGTACTGAGGCTAGGAGTGAGGGCCTGGAGAAGAGAGTGGGAGAGGTCGGACTTAGAGATAGAGTTGGGTTACCATATAGTTTCATGTAATCAGTCGAAATGGTACAGTAGCTAAATATATCTGCACACTGTTCTCGACTGCAAGTAAAAGTTTGAGGCCAATGTCAAGCATATTTTCAAAAAAGGGCAACAGAGCCTGTTTTTCCTACAGTAAGGAAGATTAAAAATTTTAAGGTTGGTAGTTTGTTGCAGATCATGTTTTATATCATGTCTTTTGTTGAATCTGCCTTATCTTTTGCAATGATTTGCAAGGGGAATCTGAATCTGGAGAGTAAGAACGTACTGGGAAGTATTGTCAAACTACAGCATGTCAAAAAGTCATTGGTGCTGATCTTTCAGCCCTAACCCACATCTATCAGTTGTAAGTCTTGCGTAAAGGATATTTCACCCCTTCACACTCTTTGTTTCATGAATTCCAATTACTCCTCTCAGAATGCAGATATAGATTTCCCCATCTAAAATCAAACAGGTTTAAAGTCTCATTTATACTTATGGTCATAACCCTGCTCGGCAGATGATCCTCTTCTGCATGCACATATAACATATGATGTCATGTTATATGTGTGCTGTATGTTTGGATGTGTTTTCTTCATATTGTCTGCTACTGTAAAACAAATTGCTCCTTGGGGATACAAGACTATCTCTCTCATTGTGCACTGTGTAACTTTGTGTTCCCTCCACAGCTGTGTGCAACACACTAATCCCAGAAGATTTCAGGCAGTACTTCACTGCTTACACAAATAACTCGGGAATATCCTGCATTTCCCAGTGTGACGCTAGACACAAAGAAAGGAAAACCTGCAACCTGGGCATTTGTCAGGTCACCAGAGCTGGACCCACCTGCTTGTAAGATGCTCCTGTATCACTGCTGATACTGTATAATCAGTAAAATGGTCTTTTCTGACAGAGATCTCGGATCAATACTAAAGCCAACAGGCAGTTCTTTTTGAAATAGGGCACAAAAGGATGATGATTCATCCGCCGTATTTTCTATAGCACTTTCACTTTGAGAGTGAGCACTCCATAGGCTGTTGGTGAACAACAGGAACTAGTTCTTTGATTACTAGTTCTTAATCACAAAACGGACAGCTGAGAATCTCAGTTGCTAAAAATATATTCTCGTATCTAAGCAAATACCGGGCTTTCATTCATTGTCCTAGCGACCACTCCGAACACCATTACTAACCACACTAATGGATTTGGAGTGCTACACCTTGTATAGCCCTTAGCTTGCCAGTCCGGAATAAGAGTAACACTTCCTAAAGGGATTTGAGGAAGCCACAACCACGGCTGTCCTGGCTAATTAGGACAAGCCTAGGAACACACTGAGCACTTCCCAAGAGGGACGAGCAAACCCCCGCAAGGGGAGACCATTCCACTGACAGTCCCGCAGTCCCTGACTGTGACATCACACTCCCTGACTGTGACAAACGAGCATAAGGCCGCCGTTTTTTTCCTTTGTTGTTTTTTCTTTGTCTTTTCTCCTGTCCTGCTGTTTATCTCCCACCGGGCAGGATGAGTTCTTTTTTTATTGTTTTGGTCATGCTCCCTTTCTCCCAGACTGGACCCCATTAAAGAGTGAAGGTCCAGTCTGGATACCGCAGTCCCAAGCAGTTCATTTTCCCCAGGTTGGACCCTGCTAAATAGGGACAGTCCAGCATTTTTCTTTTTCCCTTTTTGTGTTTTTGGGGGTTTTTGCTAACCTCACAACGGTGCCACCGCCCCCTCAGACGGGGCCTGACTTCTACCTCCTTTGCCGACTTTCCTCTGTGTTCTACCAGTGTTCACCACGGCTCCGCCCCCTCCTGCACTGTCACAGTATCAAAATATTGCTTTGACTCCTCTCTTCTATGCCCGTGTTCACAGCTGCCATCACACAGACTCTCTGTGGTACCTGGGCAGCGACTGCTCTGGGCCCATCAGCAAAGACGGTGTGTTTGGTGCCATCGGTGTCCTAGCTGTGGCCTTACTGGGGATTACTGTGGGTCTGGCCACCTACCTGGTGTGGAAGAGAAAGCAGATGAAGAGGTTAGTTTTCCAGCATCTGGAATGAAAAGAGATGGACTGGGAGAGAGGACAGACTGGGAGAAAGACGTCCCAGGGGAGCAGGGGAGACTGGGAGAGAAAGGAGGAGTAACTGAGCAAGAGGACAGGTTGGGTGAGAAAGTGAACAAGTGGGGGAGACAGAGAAAGGGAAGGTGGATGCTGTAGTATTTTGACGTTAAGGAACTGGGAGAGGTGGGGAGACAGAAGGGAGAAAGAGAGGGAGGTGAAAGGACTTAAGCCCGGCACAGCGGGAGATTGGGACTTTGAGCCTGGAGGTTCGCCACATGTCTGTGTGTGTGAAAGGCTGCTGTTTTCAAATTGTGTCATCCGGTGAAGAATGACAAAATGAAAGGGCCGTGGCTCCTGTCATGATCTTGCTCTCTGACGGAGCTGCTTTTCCCAGGGAGAGAGACATCAGGGATGACCTGGTGAACCAGTGGATGGAGGATGAGATTGAGTGGCCGTCAGCTGACAGTCAGAGAAGAGCTGGTGCAGGTAACTGCCTCCCACTAACCTTCTCTCCTCCTTCCTGTAGCCTTCCCCTGCGCCCCTCCTCTATCTACCTTATTTCTCTTGCCGTTCTGTACATTCCTTTTCACTTTCGGCTTCTATAATTCAATTTTTGTGTCTTCCTCTCCCTCTTCTGTCTCTACAACTACCAGTTCATTCCAGCAGTAATGACACCATTTTTTTCCCTTTTCCCTGTATTATGTCTTTTCTTTTCTCTTTCATGAGGAAATAATCCATCTCCAGAAAGTGGCAGCTCCTTCTTTCTCTTTAAATGTCTTAACACTTATAAAGCCATTTTCTGGACACTCCACTCAAAACTCCTTTTCCAAACAAGCTTTTCTCCTTACTCAAGCAGTGTTGGGGTTGGAGGATATTACTGTACGTATGTTCTTTTCTTTGCTTACATTTCACCTACTCTTTCTCTCTGGCTTTGAAGACAACGTGGCCGGCGTGCCCTACGATGACGTGTATGAAGAGAACACCCACCGTAACACCAGAGCAAAAAGAAGTACCAGCTTGGGCAGTGACCAGAGCTCTGCGAACAGTGCGGGCTGCAGCTCTCCTTACCAGATGGCACCAGCTGGTCTCCAAAGCAGGCACCCAGGTTGGCTCAACCAGTACTTCATCTCTCTGGAGAACGAGCAGATCCCGGTAAGCCAGCGCTGATAACAAGTACTCTGTGCTTCACAGGCTGATAAATGATATGAATATAGGTGGTGCTTAGAAAAAAATAACTGGCCTGGACAAAGAAATCTGGTGAAAAAGAAAACCACGAGGCCATTAAATTTTGTCCACATACAAATGGGAACACACGGATAAGGACAATAAGTGCTGATCACAACTATGGCAGAAACAAATGGTGGTCACACTGAGTTGGTGTGGCACTTATCGTACTTTACTTAATGGAAGTTATTGACTGAAGTTTGGGAGGGGTAACAACGACAAGTTATTTAACACAGCTGCACCTAATCATGATCACCACCAAACCAGCTACATGAACTGAACTCAAACACCTCCCTTCTCATTCATCTTGAGCATCCCTCCTCTGCTTTATTCCCCCATCTCCACCTTGTAGCTGTTCCTGGTTCACTCAGTCGGACTGGAGTTCAAACCACCTCATCCTGTGGCCAGCAGGCTACCCATTAGACAAGCAGGTTAAATTACACTTTCCACACCAAGTATACCAAGCATTCAATCCCTGGGTGGTGTTTTTTTCCCTAGTGAACTCCCAGTGCCTACAGCAGAGGGTTTTCTCTCTCTGCTCAGTTATCTGAAGGATACTTTGAAAGTGAGCAGGTTAGTGACTACTTGTTAATCTGTCTGTCTCTGCAGGTGAGAATCAGCCGGCCCCAGATCCGGAGATCCAGTGATAGCTGTTAGACTTTCTCTTTGTGGCCTCTGAGGCTCCAGGAGAGACCTAATGGTTCTACACGCTCTGCACAAATCTGGGATAAAGCAAGAAGTGCCACACGGATGAAAAGGAGGAATAAAGTGTGGGCACAAAACTACATGAAGACATCACTGGGATTCCACGCATCCACCATGGTTGGAAATGACCAACTTTTTTCTTTGCACATTTTTGAAGGAGGAGGCTGATCAGATTGTTTAAAAGCCCAGAGCGGAATATGGCCTAGGCATTACTTCCGCACACATCGCCATGGCAACACTAATGACCACGTCCTCAGAACCTTGGCAAAAAGGTCTCATCCAAATTATGACTCATACTGCAGCTCTCGGCACTAATCTTGCTAAGGGACTGGAATTAATTGACAGAACTTTTGCCCCAGAGCTTGTCTCACTGTCATCTGGAAGGTTACAGAGATGTCTGGTGGATGCAGCAGCTGACTGAAGCCCACTCAA